CGTCTGGGCTATTTTGCGCTGCATACGTTTAGAAAAGTGCTCACAGTTCCCCCCAGTTTTATCTGCCCTTTCCTCAAATGAAACGCTTAAGAAGTGGGAGACTAACTAACGCAGGGAGAGACAGAGCAAAAGGCCCAGAGAGAGAGAGAGAGAGAGGGAGACCGAGAGGCCTTTTCTGACAGTGGCTTTTGTGTCTCACTGAACAGGATTTGTCACGAGGCTTTAAAAGAGATTTCAGCCGGGTAAATATGGCAGTTTTGACAGAAAGAGAGGGAGATGATGGTCACTTTAGACGTTTCTTCAGGAGGTAAAAAAAACCCTTCTTATATACGGTGGCAATGCTCGGGTTTACTGTGGCGCGCAGGACCATCTGTGTATTCATGATGTTTCAATAGAGCCAGGATACACCGTCCAACTAAGTTAGAATTAGCAAATGAATGAAAAAATAGTGAATTCACGCTGAAGTAAGCAGGTGTGACAAATTCATTGAGCTGCATTTGAAATGCTGCCATGTTTAGTGACTAGAACCTCGCCTGTGACGGAAGTGGAGTTTGGGTTTAAAAAAAAAAAGTGGAGGTAGTCTGAATGTGGATGCTCAATAAACACACTCTATTTGTTTAGTTTAATCTGAAAGTTTTTCCTTGATGGGAGAAAATGTGCAGATTATGTGCCTGTGTGTGTGTGTGACTGTGTTTGTATGTCATGGGTAGCCTTGATCTATGCAGAGCTCTAATACATAGCCAAATTAATCTATCAGTCCACGGTTACACACACACACAAACACACCCACACACACCCACACACACACAGGCAGGTGGTGGAAATCCCCGTCACAGCAGCAGCCCTCTCTGGAGAGCAAACCCGGCCGGGTCCAATATCCTTTTGAAAGCCTTTTATCGAGCAGTTTACAAGTTATGAATGAATATGTTTTATTTGGGGAAACACGGTATTGACAGCCACCTATCAATAGTAATGTGACTATTGTCAAGGGTCTGTCAATATTAATGTAATTATGATGTAGAGGGATCAGAGGGATGCCGGAGTCGGGGGCCAAGTAACATCTCCTGCCCACTGCCATATCAATAGCTGGGATTGCTATTGACAGCTTCCCTTCAGACTTGCAGCACTTGCCAAATATATAACAAGCAGACACTTCAGTCAATGCCGGGCTGCCTATAAAAATTAAGCATTTGAATTTACAGCACTTTTACCGTGGACAGCTGGAAATCCATGTTCCTTATGTAATAGTCAAAAGTCGAAGTCAATGCCAGTGTTTACAGAGCACGGTGTGCGATAGATCACAGACATTTGCACGCAAAATGTACACACAGATACAAGCGGACTGACTCTTTCTCTGATGAATTCACTCAGACACACACCTGAAGTGATACATAGAATTTCGCGTGGGTCAGCCAACCAGAGACAAAATGCCCTCTTTTTGAAAGGAGTTCACAAAAATTGACAAAACATCTAGGGTCTTAATTTTTGGAACTTGCTTTCCTGTCAAAGCTGTATAAAACACTTTTAAAAAAAACATCTTCCTGGGAATATTAAAAGGTATTTTTGATTCAGGTCAGATGAGAAGGTTTTGTCTCACCTTGTTTCCTTAGCCCTTGTTTCGACAAAGATAGCACACTGACTCAAGGCTGACTGCCGTAGCTTACAGCCAACAACAACAACAATATCCAATCTAACAGGGAACACACAGCAACACCGCCTCAAGGCGAAAGGAGGCTATGACCAGTGTGGGGAAGGAAAGGAGAGGAAACAAAAGCGTACGGAGCATCAGACGGAAGCTGCACAGCTGCACCGAGTGCTCTGGAAATTAGACAGCGAGCAGTAATGACAGCTAACAAAAAGATGGATAGATAAAGACAAAAAAATATGCTTCAGGAAACCTCTAAGCTACTGTCCACTGTGAAGGGAAACTGGGGGAAATGATAGCTAAGGAGAAAAAATGAGAGAGGGGAAAACAGATAAGCACAGACCTCTCCCCCTGAGCTGACCTTGAGACTGACGGTCACAATAAAGGAGGAGGGAACCTTCCTAAAGCACAGCCACGCTGAGGTGCATCCAGGGAATAGCCTATAGAAAGAGGAAGGATGCACTTTCTTCTTGACCTTGGCTTTGGTGTCTAGGGAAGGGATGAGGGTGTTTAGGGCAGGGGACTAAAGACTGAGGGATGCTGGGAAGGTGGCGTATCTCTGGGGTCTTTTACTGCAGGGGACAAGGGCTCTGAAGCTGCTAACGAGGCTATCAGTCCATGCCATTCGGAAACTGCGTCCAAAAGTCTCAATTTAGCTGCTGGCGTGGTGCAGGGCTCAAATTCCTGAGCACTTAGCAATGGTTGTTAGCATAATATATTTGCTGAAATAATGTATAAACGTTCTCTTGGCCTTCTATGATGCTTGTAGCGAGAAATAGGCTATGCATTGGCAAAGCATGTTGAATTACAACTTTACATTTTCTTCTCTCGCTCATGTAAATTAATTTGTGTAAAAGCTCTAGTGAATAAAACCTATTTCTCTGAGCACCCCGTGTCATTTTTTCCCCCTCGCTCCCTCACTTTATTGCCCTTCTTTCGCCAGGAACGAGAGCAGGCCTATTAGCCACGGCCTTCTAATGTCCTCACTATGAAAACGGATGAGAATGTCAGATTAAGAACTTTTAAGAGAGTGATGTCATGCTGCAGACCACAGGCATTACGGGGACGCTAAGATTACCCAGGCGGTAACCAGACTAATTGTTATGAGTCTGTTTCATGAAAAATGAATGTGTGCAAATGCACAGAGGGGTCTTCAGGCTGTGTGTATGTGTGTGCGTTACACACTAATGCTTTATCAAGGCTCTCCCCTTTTTGTAATCACCCAAGACTACTCCGAGCCACGGGGTGAGGGCCAAGTTAATGCCTGAATGCAAAAAAATACACATCAGTTAGAATAGCACGTCTGACGTAGGAAAAAAAATGTTCTCTGCTTAATCTGGTTTGCTCCAGAGGTAAATTATTTAAGAGAATTAATTGATTTCATGAGTAGGAAGGTTGAGTATGCTAGGGCTGTATGAGTAATAAGTACAGGGGTTTGCAAAAAACAACTTAAAAAGTAATGAAACATTTAGAGGGCAGAGAAGCACAATGAACGTGGTAGAAAAAGGGGAACAGCTAATAAATGAGAGAACTGAAGTTGTGTCTTTCTTACTGAGAGAGCACTGTGGCCTCACCTCATGCAAATAAAATGTGTTGTACTGAGGAATATTTGATCAGCACATCTCTTAGCTTGTGCTTTATGCATGAAAGCATTTTTCTGTTTTTTAATCTGTGCAACAATTAAAAAGTGAGTGAGAGTAGAACATTCAATATTTACCGTCCTGTTCAATCAATGAGAATGGGAAAGCCACTGCAGGCTCAAAATGCTAATAAAGGCACAACACCATGCAGTCATAACACACTGTAGAGATGCTACTTTAAGGAATCCCTCATGTATATGTATGTTTCAATCACTTTTAGGAATTGGATTGCTGCCGTTGAAAATGTTACCCCCAAATGACGTGCCAACATGTTAACTGTTACGTTTATTTCACTTTAAAGATGTGACTTCTGGCAATGTACACAACTATAATAAAAACATACTGTGATACTAACAGACACTGAATATGATGCATATAATTTAGCCGGATTAATTGAGCACGCTGGAGGTTTAGAGAACATCTGTAACATCTGTATGAATGAGCAGAAATACAACTGTGTGCACTGTTGGTCGGACAAAATGTTTGTAACAATGTATGTGCAATATAATTTTACTAAATCTATAAAGCTAATCTGTCAAGCGCACAGATAACCCCCTTGCCTTTATCACTTGACTTCATCTGGAAACTGTAGCCCATAAAATGACCTTATGCCCCCAGAGTGAGATCACAGCCTAATTTAACTTCAGTCATTCTCTTAAAAACACACTCATTACACTAAGTGTTTAGCCCCAGAGACACACGTCTATACTCCAACCTCATGCAATCAGCAGCTCCACATTCCCCCTCATCAGGACATTGTCTTTTAATTTTTTAAGCCCATACCCATCAGTCTTTAACAACAACAAAACCCAAATCTGCTCCATTTTGATAATAAGGCAAAAGCATTATGTGATAATCACAGTAGGGATTAGGTTTTGGGTGAGAGTGCAAGAGCAGTGCAGTCAAAGCCAGTGGAAAGGAGAGATATAGCCATGAGACAGATAAGGGTAGAGGAGTGATGATTGGGATGAGAGAAATGAAGAGCAGTCTCTTGAAAATCAATAAGATCAACTTTGCCTTGAATCTTAATGTGGAAGGTTTGGATCTCTAGCACTGATTATTTAGAGGAATAATGGAATTATGTGCAGAGCAGTATAACATACTCTTGAAGGGAAACACACTCACAAGGTTACCATCTAGAGTTGCAGTTGTGTAAATAAACCTGGATGTGGCTCGCGATGAATAATAATTTCCTCGTTTGAAACGCATGCACTATAGCCTACACATTGACAGACATTGACAATCGATTTGATTTTTAATGAAAACATGCAGGCAAATGATACTCATAACGCGTCAAACATACAACACTGACAGCAGAAAGCAACACGCAGGGGATCATATTAAACGACGAGTCTTTACATCGTTTATAAAAGCAGATGTTCTGCATTTGAGCTTTCCGTAGAACTAACACGGTATTCAGGAATATCATCCAGACTTTAATGATCGCGAAACAAAACAACAGATCTGTATTTACCCATTTCTGTTGGCGAACTCAACTCAGTCCTCACTGATTAGACCAAAACAATGTGTATTTCCGGGTTGTGGATGTAAAACTCGCCCCTTAAAGGGAAACCACCAATAGTGTGGAGAAACGTCACGACTATGAAGCCAAAGGGTAAAAATGAGCCAATCAGATCACGCAGCGGCAAACTTTGGGAGGGAGTGTCAGTGTGAGTGGAAATTAGTCTGTTAAAGTCCTCCGTTGTAGTAACGGCAGATAGCGACCAAGTTGGTGAGGCCACGGTAATTAACATAAAACCACACATATAATGTCTTACATGCACTTGTTATGCAAGGCACATACTTGTTTCAGTTGGCGTCACAGTTGTCAGACAATGTAAACTATAAATATGTGAACAGTTTGAAGCAAGCGTGGCAAGCAGTCATTAAGAGTGTTAGCTAGTTAGCTTAAAAAGTGCGTGTACTGTATTTGAGCCACGCTGAAAACTTTCACTACCATGAGCAAAAAGACAACTTCACCGGAGTCAGGCGAAAACGTGAACGTTTTGGGACATGAAAGTGATCATTTGAACCTGCCACCTCCCCCAGAAGAGAAGCTGGAAGTTTCTATCCACGACTCAAACAACATTAAACAGCTTGTAAACGAGTTCAAGGGATTCCACGTGCAGAGATTGACATGTCTCGAGCTGAACACCACTTTAAACAAAGAGGAACGGCAGCAGGTGAGTAAATACGTGATAGATAGAGCGTTTAAAGTTTGTCTAATTGGTAGTGTGGCCGAGCGGTCTAAGGCGCTGGATTTAGGCTCCAGTCTCTCTGGAGGCGTGGGTTCAAATCCCACCACTGCCATTATTATCATTTAAGTTTCTCGTTATGACTGATATGCTTACTGTACGACATCAAAACGTCTCCTTATCGACAACTAGTTATTGTACGTGTCTGTTTCCATCTAGATGAAGACACAATATTTTAAATGTCTCATAAGAAATCAACAAATATTGACCCCATTCTGTCTTGAAGTGACAGTTAAGTCAAATTATTTACAAGGCAACCTCAGCAGTGTCCTAAGTTAACTTTCCAGGGTTTTGGACCCCAGATTTAATTTGTTTAAGTCAACAGCATACATTTCAAATAATTGAGGACCCCATTCAGACTCAAAGTATCTACAGGAAGTGTATTTTCTGCCTACATCTATTGTCATTAGGTTATCATCCATCCAATACAAATCAAAGCACATCCTGTCCACCGTGACTTGGCCATCAGAAGATGACCTCTGTCCCGTCAGACAAATGACAGGAGGAAGCGCAGGGGTGCTTTCATAAAGCCGCAGCACTTGTAACAGGTGGCAAATTGCATTATGTTTCCATCTGAGCGGCAGAGATCAGGAACACAGATCCACACTCATATTTAAAAAAGAGAGGTTTCTAATCATCAGGATTGTCATGTGACATCATTTAGCGACAGAATGTAGCCTGTGTGAGCTGGGCTGTGCATCAAAGGAAGTGTAACAAGGTTTGGGAGATGGGTTTCGGTCAGCCGGCCCCAGTCTTAACAAGGTTACATGTTTAGAACCCAGGAGCTTCCAAGTCCTAAAGGTTGATATGGACAATTAATCACAAAGCTTGTCCATTGAAAACACAAAGCCCATTCATCCATGAACCCATTGTAGGTTTATGATGTTTCCTATTTTATTCGAACAACCTGCAAATTAAACAATTTATACAAAGTATTTTTTCTTACGCTATAAGGATCAAAGCTGGCAGGCTTAAGGAGTGTTAAGAAAGACATGTATAACGTTTGTAACAATATTCTTTGCCCACAGAAAAGGTTAAGCCAAACAGAACTTAACCCAGGCTATGCTCACTAAACTTTGACTAAATACAACTGAAAAGACTAAATTGGCCTAACGTTTTTTTAAACAAAGTGTTAACTTAAAGGCAAAAACTACCAGCGAAACTATAAATAAAATAGTACAGAAGAGTATGTTTCTCAGTATATACTGTTTTTTTCCAGCACCAGCAACCTCAGCACTGGTAACTTTAAGAAATAGAAAAATAGAATGTCTTACGGCAAACTTATCTAAAGACAAACTAAGGTGTGTTACTCTCCCTGAAGCTAAACATCAGTGTTATATAACGCGTCAGGGGACGGTACAAAGATGCTTGTTGACTTCTTTGGCTTTAGGGGACAGACGTTTATGAACACAGATGTACGGGGGCTCCTCTAAGGCAAAATAATTCTGAATTTAAGAAGCATTCCCTTTTATTGTTGATGCGTATTTATGTTTTTACTGATATAAAAGACTGACCTAGAAGAATGCACTGAAAGCTAAAACAAAATAAAAGTATATTAAAGTAAGTCTTAGGGAGAACAGTGGGCTTTTGTTTCTGACAGTTACCCATGCTGTAATAATTGTTGATGTCCAAATTAAGTTTTTATGCTCTTTAAAAAAAACAAAACAGGAGTTTTAGCTTGTCAGGGGTATGACTCAATAAAAACTGCTTAGTACTACTGTCAGCATGTTTAAACCGGTTTAAACCCAGCAGATGAACCAACGTTTGATCCCTCTGTGCTGTTGTTCTTGCAGAAGAAAGTGAATTTCCTGTGGTCTTATGTGAATGACCTCGTAGAGCAGAACCAGGTGCTGGTCGAGACCGTTGAGGATCTGCAGAAGGAAACTGACAACAAGGTTTCCTGTCGGGGAATGAAGCTCCACGCCTCAGATCCCATCCTGAACGTAAGGTGTTACTTATAAATGTTTTTATAGCAATTTGGTTCAATTAAGTAGTTCACTTATGGCACATTTCCACTGCAGCGGGGTAGCCCCGTTTAAGCGTCCTCGCTCAGGCCTCGGGCTGCCTCGTTGGCCGTCTGAGGCCGTGGCGCATTTCCATTACAGTTTAGGACCTGGGGTAGCAACGCAGTGTAGGCGGTTCATCTGTGCAGAGACATCCTGGAACACTTTCACATTTCGAGTTGTTCCGTCGAGCTCCTGCTGGATTTTATCATCCCCAATGAGATGTAGGAACGTCGTCACCCTCCTCGGTCGACCACGGTGTGCTTTTCTTTGACGTTGCCATTTTTGTAGCTCCTCCGTTTACAAAAATGCTGTGTATAAAAATGCTGCAAGCTTGCTTCTAGATATATATGCGACGCTAGGGATGATCTCGCGCGCGATCTTGTGACGATTCTCTCTGACCAATCAGCAGTCGAGAGTGTTGACGTCACTAGTTCAGCCCTGGCCCTGACCTGATAGAACCACGATTTTATGGGGCCGGAAAAAGAGGGAAAAAGTACCCGCTAGCCGGTGCTACGCTATATGGAAAGGCCACCAAAAACTGGCCTGGCCGCTTGAGGACGCTTAAATGGGGCTACCCGCTGCAGTGGAAATGCGCCACTAGAAAGAGTATTTTCATTTTCTTTGATATTTCTGTTTTACAGTCTTTTTATGCTATTCATTTCCTTTGTCTTTAAGAGATCTATCTGAATGGATTACACGCAGGGTAACTTTGATAAAAAGTGCTTCAAAGTATACTGTACATATTACCATTCTTTTACTTTTTGGGTATGCGTTTCTCTCAAAATATAGTAACATCTTCATGTATTGGGACCAAATATATCTCATGAAGACAAATATGCATCAATGAAATAAAACCATAAAAAGACTACAACCTTAATTTAAAAAAAATCTAATCCAATCTCTACACCCTGATAAAACCGAGACTCCTCTTGAGTGTGCCAATATGAATAAAGAGCACAAGAACTTGAAAGCATAAAGTAAAATAAAGAAGTAACCTTTGAAAGTTTAACAGTAATTGATTTGCAAACCCAACTTTTATCCTTGGGATTTTATACAAATAAAGGTCAGGTATTTGGTAATAAGTGAAGCAGCGTATGTCAAAGGGAGGACATTCCTAATCATAAACAACATCTAAATACAAATACCAAAATGCATAAGCACGGCAGAATTAACACAAAAGAGAGAAAACAACAAAGCAAGTTTAAAACGGAATGACAGCTCATGGCTTTCTTTGCTATGCTGCCGTATCTGCCTCCAAGAACATTTCTTTGTGTGCGCTTCTCGAGGCCAAGGCATCTTTGACTTTAGAGAATTCAATCAGCGGAGATCAGACCCTGACTGTGGTTAACAGTTAAGACCATGAGAATCCCTCATTGTTTACACAGAACAATATCAGTGCGCAGAATATTGGCAATGTAGAAAAGCATTAAGGACGAGCCTGGAGCCGCGCAACAGTTTCTGTTTTTAATGCCTCGCGCAGTTCTGTTATATGACTGCATGTAAGCTGAAAAAAGTCCTCTCTTATTATTTCTTAAGTTTGTAGCCATTTTCTGGAGGAAACCATACATTCTTATTCATTCTAAGAAGAGTGGAGGTGGGAACGAAGCTGAGAGCAGAAATGCTTTACCAAATGTATTCTTTTGTCCAAGATTGCATCAACACAAGGCAGGACTGCGTGGACATCACCACTTGATGTAGTGGCCGTAAGGTATTGTTATAGTTAGGCCCAGGCTTCATTCAATATTCCCCCTTCTGAGTGAATTTTGCAAACAGAAAAATAATTTCGGCCTTTTATCCATCAAAGTACTTATCTGCTTTTATGGAGAAGGTCAGAGGGCTTGCTTTGTGTGCTCTCTGCGCCGGTCTCAAAGGCTCAGGTAACATAATGCTTTGCACTTCTCAACTCAAAGCTATCCATTTTAGAGTTCGAAAATTGTATTTTCCTCAATGAAAAATTGCTTAATCAAAAAGCGGAAAATAAATCCTTGGTTTCTCTTCCATAATGTTTTCTTAGATGCCTTTACTTAATAGTGTGTACAATATTTCCTTGCAAACTATATCACAATACATGCGTAACGAATGGTAAGAATAACCAAGACCTTTAAGAGTTTTCACATGTTCACTGTAATTGAATTGTAGGCAATTCACCAATTTATTTAGCTCTTTGGCAGAATAAAATAAAGCTAAAGAGTCATTGGTGAGAAAAATGTGGGAATTGATAAAATGAAATTCTCTCAGCTGACTCCTTTTGTTCATTCAGTTGCACAAGTTCGTTTAGCCGCCAAAAGACACAGTGTGAGGGAAGTGTTGCTGTGCTATCGACCCTGGTTCGGCTTTTGAATCTCCGTTTTCACCCGTCTTAAACGATGCTCTCACTGTCTGTTTCGGTTACTTTGTATGTTTTCAGGGTCTAGATTGGTAAACAAATACAAATAAATGGACTCCTTCACTCAACAGTCTATTAGGATAGCCAGGGGACAACAGTGTGTTTCTGCTCTGATGTCCATAATGTGAAATCCAATCAAATGAAGAGCATTTAGAGCTACTTATGGACCGTTCCACCATGTAAACGATGCAATGAGCTCTGTAATAGGAGCTTAGCTAACGTCTGATTGAATCGTAGTGTATGGTCTTGTTGATGCACAATAGGGTTGAACTGTAATGGACACTAAACAGAGTTTGTTTTGTGGTCATAATATCATGAAATCCAAGGCTTGTGTTCTCTGTTCTAGACTGCTGCAATTAGCCTGTTGACTATATTTCATCCATCCAAGGACAGATGTAGCATCATCATGTTCCCTGCATACTTTATAACCCTGAGTTAAATAGTACTTTGAGAATTATACGGAATGTCTATGTTAACCTGTGGTTACAGGAAATGCTTTCAGTACGCTTCAGTTCAATATTGAACTCATAGGAATAAAAGTTTTGACTACTGTCCTTACCTGATGAACCCCACCAGCTTCTCCCTGGTCTAAACTTTCTTTAGTCATTCTATGCCAAAGTCCTTGCAGTGAACTTAAATTCATCCTGTCATGTTTCACTGACGCAGGTATTTAAGGATTATTAAAAATCATAGAAAGTTGTTCCAGTTGCAGATAGACTCTAAAACAGCACTCAGAGTATCTGTACTCGTGTTAGGAAGTAGACTCCCAGTCCTTGCGGTGCTCTTTCCAGTATCACTTTCCATAGCTGGCAGATTTTCCAGCCAATGAAAGATGATGGAAAAACTTTCTTTGTCTCATTCGGTTACAATAAAAAGCATTATTATGAGTGCTGAGGAGTTCCTCAAAGAAATGTCCTTTAGTCCTCTGGTTTATACTCTTGTTGGTCATTTTGGCATCTTAAGGATTAGTAATAATATAATACAATAAAATTGGCACTTCCATTGAACTCTATAGTGATGTTTTTTCCACTTGCGTTATTCCAGAGAGGTCAAAGTCACAAGAGCAGCTACAGAACAACTTAGTGGCAAGGATTCAGTATCGTGCTTGAGGACACTTTTGTTGGCCAGATTGTGGGTTTCAATGAGTGGGAAGATGAAGAAAGCACCCTCGTTTTGAGACATATAAAATAGGGAAATGTTAATAACATGGCTCAGTCGGTAGTTGTAGGTTTAACTCTTTAGTCCAGAGCTTTCTGTTATCATTTGGTCCTTTTTAAGTCTTTGGTAAGGTATGTTTTTTACATCCGTTACAGTATCCTGGCTTTTTTGCACATTTTGTTTGTGTGTGTGCACATTATGTGCAGTCTGTGTGTCTATTGGGTAGATTTCTTAATTCCCAGAGTTTAGCCTCTGGCCTGCGGGGCAGTGTGGGGGACTGCGGAGGCCTGAGGGGGATCAGTGTAGATCAGAACAGATCAGTAGGGATCATTTGGGATCACTGGCCTTGTCTTTGATCTACTCATCCTATCATCTCACCATTCCCACACAATTCTCAAATGATTACCATACCAGGAATATTCAAACATGTTAGTGAACACATCTTTCAGACTGGAGACGTGTGCTTCTTGCAAATCACATTGAAAGTGTCCCATTTTCTATGCTTGTTAGCTCTTCTTCTTTGTAAAAAACAGGGCTAACAACTTAAACCTAATTTATTTTGTCTTATTTGTATCCGAGGAGAAGCAAATGGTTTATAACAAGTGTCGACTATAAATTTGCCAACTGAAAGTCGGGAAAGTCTCCAGCTGTGATGAGTCTCCAATTTTTGGTGCGATTCACAAAGTGACTATTTATGACATTGCCCATAAACCACAGAACAGGGGCTATAAAAATGCTCCGGAACCAAATGAGAAAAATTGGCCTCATGACTTAATCCATGCTAATGAGGACATCATTTTTCCTGTCATGGGGAGAAACCCTCCATAGAAGCTCTCTTAAGAGCCATTTCAACTACGCAGTACATAACAAAGTAAGTAACTTATGGCGTAGCTGTTGGAGGAAAACTTTAATGGAAATAACGAAAACAGCCTTTTTCTAAGGATGACCACAGCTTTTAGAATTGATACAGTTCTCAACCACACATCATCCGGATGCATTGAGAATAACCGCAGCTTGGAATAAGTGCGTTTTAACCATGAAGAGAATCTTGCAGTTACAGAGAGACGAACCTTTGTAGGTGCTCTTGCATCGGCTTCAAAATAAGCCACACCTTCCTAAATGCTAAGTACAAAAGAGATCCTTTTTATTTGCCAAGGTGCGGTGGATCCAGATGGGTTTTAGCATAGTTAAAAGTCGGGATTTTGTTTTATAGTCTCACTCGCAGAGAGGTGTTTGGGAGCCGATTGGTGCACGTGCTGGAGTGTATGGTTTAGTTATTTTCTGGGTGTAGGAAAGGCCTGATTCCTTCACAGCCTCGCAGGCCAGTACAAGTGTCTTGAAGCGGAGGAAAATATGTAGCATTTTCTCAGCAAATGAAGTAACTTAATTAATT